TTCCCTCCTGCCCCCCAACCCTCCCCGGCCTTCCAGCTGCAGTTTGACAATCTGTTTTTTAAATTGGATTTTTCTAATTGGTAATCATAAAAGTAGTCAATGGCTTAGGAATCCCTTTTCACTCAATTCAGTAAATATTTATTGAGCATCTGCTCTGTGCCAAACATCTAAAAGAATAAGAGGTGGATAAAAAGATGAACTAGAAACAATCTCTACACTCTATGAAAGTATGACAATGGTAAGATGGTCAATTAATGTGTTTTTTTTACCCCATTACTTTCTGATATATACCTAATCTGTATTTTTATAGCTTTGGGCTTTTCTTTTTTCTGTATATAGCTATCTTGCTATTACCATGCAAGGTTTTGTTTTGATTTGTGTTATTTTGGTGGTTGTGGTGGTTGTTTGTTGAACTCCTGATCATTATAACCCTTGGCATCCATTTATCCTGGAGTTGCACTGAGATATTTATAGTCTCCAGCCTCCATGTGTTTTTTTGTTTGTTTGTTTGTTTTTTGCTTTTCTAAGATCTTGCCATTCCTCTCCTCAAAAAATCTATATTTAGTTTCATACCTTTTGTTTAAATTGAGTAGCCATTTGATTTTATAAAAATACTTTTCCTTTTCTAGTCGAATGCTAAAGTTAAGTGAATTGTCATTACTATTACATTGTGGTTCACCAACAAGTAATTTTTAGGTTAGTTCTTGTTCACTTCTTGGGAACAAAGTAAAAAATGCCTTGTCCATATAAGGAAGAAGTCATTTGCCCTCTTTCCAGATCCTTACCTCTAGTCATCTTTTGGTGATATGCTGATCTGTGTGTAAGTTCGCCGTTATAACTCCTGGCCTATTTTGTAGCTTGTCCTCCACCCAATACAGGCAGATCCAAATCAGGATTTGTCCTCTCTTGCATGCTATACTTTACACCTTTTATACCCACAATAATCTATTAATCCTTCACCTACCTGCCTACCTTCAATGCTTCCTCTTACTTAGAGACTTCTGTGACTAATAAGGTCAGAAAATCCAGGTCTAGGTGAGAACAGCTATCTACTTTTGACCCTTGAACTTATTTTTTCCTTAGCGTTCTCTGGAGCCATGGCGACTTATTCATTAACAAGTATGATTAGTACATAAACACCACTATCTGCTTGTGTCTGTTTATAAAGTTAACTCTCAATTACCGAGGGACCAATTAACTATTGGAGGTTATGTGGGTCTCATGCTGTGCCTTTTGGCCACTCCAGTCCCTGGAAAAATTCACACACAGAGTGTGGAGATGACCAAGCAAAAACTATGAGACCAAGATTATTCATTTGTGCCCCATGTGAACAGTTACTAAAGTCTGATAGAAACTAAAATTATACATTTCAATGTGCTTTGGGATAATCTAAGGATAGAAATATGCATGGTGATGGTGAAACAAGCTTCCTTTTGTACCATATAAATTCTTTTAAATGAGCAATAAAACTAAGGTATTATGGGTGCTAGTAAAAGTTAAGAGGACTATTTTTCTGGTATTAAAATCAAGTCAACAAATTGTTACCAAATGTTTACCATCCTATAAAAAAAATGTTTAGTCATCCACCTCTAAATAGGACCTCAGAGATGAAAGGCCTCAATTATATTCCTTTCTGTCCAGGATTAGCCAAAGTGACTTTGCATTCACCCAACAATAATTGTAACTGACCTCGGATATTGTTGAAATAACTACAAATAGATCTAGGCTGTTGGGGAGACACAAAGATTGATTTAGCATAATATTTACCATTTATTTCTTTATACTAGCTTGAGGAATAACCCATTTAAGTATTAAATCAATGTTTCTAAAGTGTATGTGTAAACTGGACATATATATTTGAGGCATAGTTTTTCATTGAATTATATTATTATTCAGTGGTGCTTCAAAATCCTTTTAGACCAATATGTGGTGACTCCTAAAATTTTGCCTGTATAGGATTACATCTGTCTTTGTCACTGAGTAGTTATTCTTCTATTAACAAGTAGTTAAGAATCCTAATTTTAGTGACAACTTAAAGGAACATTTCAGTGAATACTTCAGTATTGGTTTCTAAAGCCAAACGTTTTCAACTTCTAGAATCTTGCCAAAAAGTATTAAATTCACATCAATAGATTTATATATAATTAGTACTTTAATCCAGAAATTGATGGAGTGCTTTATTTTTGGGAATCCTCTAGGATGAGGGTCAACAAACTTTCCTGTAAATGACTAAATAGTAAAGATTTTAGGCTTTGTGGGACAATGGGCAAAGTTGAAGATATATGTAGGCAAGAGAGAAAACAAGTATCCACAACTTTTTGTAATACAGATCTACTAATGAGCACAGTTGACTTTATTTGTGGACACTAAAATATGAATTTCAAATGATTTTCATGCATTATGAAATATTTTTATCTTTTATTTTTTTAACCATTTAAAAATGTAGGAACCATTGTTACCAACTTGGCCATACAAAAACAAGGCAGACAGGTCCTTGAACTTCTGGAGATTGCATGCAGCTTTGATCTGACTCTCAGAGAAATCCAAGACTAAAAAAGATTAGGGGGCATTGTTCTAGAGACAATTCACTGATTTTTAGGAGGCATTTCCTAAGGCCCTTAGAGTTTCTAGGGAATCTGTGGGAATTCCTACTCTAGGAGCTAATCCTGCTAGAGACAGTGAGGGTAAATAATTCTCTAGGTGATCTTTTATTCATAAAGTCAATTGTCTTCACCATTCTTGTCGGTTTTATAAAACTCAGAGAAAACTGAAAACCCACACCTCTGGTTTTAGGAGGAAAAGTCTTCTCATATTTTCAAATATTTAGAAAATAATTTAGGTTCAAATGAATATCTGAAACATATTTAACGTGTCTAGAGTCTAGACCATTTCAGGTTATAAATAGAAATCACATTCAACCTGCTAGGAACTTTTTTCTTTAAAACAAAGATTACCCCTTGGAACAGTTTATATTATTTCAAATGAAATTTAAGGCTGCAATGTAGGTATAAGCAGGATTAAATTTACTTATTAAAGCTGAATGTGCAAGCTTGCAGGTTTCTTGGCTTAATGGGGGCGGGGGGGGGGAGTGCTGTTACCCAAATCTGAACCCTTGAATGTTCAAATTCATGAAATGGAGTAGTTACCCTGGGGCAGAGATGGTAGTGAGAAAACAGAAATGTCCATTTGAAAATAAGTAAAAACCTCAGGAGTTTCTGGAAGTAGAAGAATTGCTTCTTCTAATAACAGTGTTATTGAATGAAATTTGTACTCAAGGAGGAAATTATTATAAAACATAATACTCATTTTAAAACCTAAACATGGAACAGTGTAGTATGTGGTGAAAACCTAAACATTTTTAGCAAGCTCCTTGCACTTTTTAGGTAGACCTTTAATTAATTTACAGCTTATTTTCACAGTTTTTGAACTGTGGGGTATGTAACAAATTTAAGAAGGTTGAAATATAATCCAAAGAAAGCAGAAGTTAACCTAAAAAAATTTCACCCTAAAAAGAAAGGAAAAGTTAAAGGAACTTCAGTGCTACTGTAAACAGGATGCATTGCTTCTATGTACATTAGGCTTAATTATTATTAATTGATCAGTATTTATTAGTCTTTAATGGTGTTTTTAATCTGGAAAATCCACTCACAGGTAATCTTTCTTTTAATTCAATAGTTTTTAAAATGTAATAATGGTTCTTCTCAGTTCTTTAAAAGGCAAAAGCAAAAAGTATCTAGGAATAGGATAGTGACTTTAGTTAGAAATTTACTATGAAAGAGAGAAAAAAAGAAGTACAACAAAGCATACTATTGTGTGGTTCAAATATGGAGATTTTATAATGAGAGATTCTTGGTGATTTTGAGAAAATCATACATTATCAAATTGATAAAGTCTGCATTTTTGTGGAAGTATGCCTGGGTGGCTCTTTCCAAGAGATTTCTACCTCATTATAAAAGATGATATCGCATCAGCTAATTACTGGACCTTCATATCTTATTCAATAAAAAATGTGACATGTCTGTATAGTTTCTTCCATCATAGTACCTAGTTAGCCTGGATAAACCCTTGGCTGACTGTCCACAAACTTTAAAAGAACCTTTCAGACTGTTCCATCATCTTTCCTGGTACCTGGTATTGCCCCTTTCCTCTTAAAACTCTTGTCCCCCAAGTCTTCTCTAATCACCCTAGTGAGTCTTACCAGTTTTCAGGGGGAAGGGTTTATCCCGTCCTTCCCAATGTCAAATTAGCTAATTTGATAAACTCATCTAAGGTAGAGTGCTAATGCAGAAGTCCTTCCTTCCAAGTTAAGTGTGGTCTACAACTTCCTATTCATCTTGTATTTCGAATTATCCCTATTAATGTGATTTAGCAGAGGTTTTGGCAGAGGTTGGTTGTCAGTGTAACAGTTTTATTATTTTTTTTAGTGAAAGAAATAACAAGAAAGTAAGAAAGAACACATGCTATCAGTAATACACAGTGAAACACTACAAGTTGCACAGCATGGCACTAATGTCTTTATAGAGCAGCGGTTCTCAACCTGTGGGTCGCGACCCCTTTGGCGGTCGAACGACCCTTTCACAGGGGTCGCCTAAGACCATCCTGCATATCAGATATTTACATTACGATTCATAAAAGTAGCAGGCCGATGCTCTATCCATTGAGCCAAACCGGTCAGGGCGGGTGGCATGATTTTAAGGTAAAAAGGAAAGTGCTAAATAAAACACATTTGGAACAAAATCCATCAATGAGGTGAAATTTGGCTAACTCATGATTATTAAAATTATGTGACTCGTTTTATCAGTTTACCAAGAAATTTGATACTTAAAGATATTTGTTGGTTTAAAATAAATCCTATATGAAATTAGTATAAGACTCAAAATAAGTCGGAGAAACAATGACAAATTTTTATATGCTTAGCCTTTCTAAAAGAATGCCTCCTTGTGTATTAATAGGAATAATCTGTTTAATTCTAACACTTTTTTTTTCTTTCAAACATACAGACTGCCTTTCCTATGACTCCATCACTTGCAGCTAATCCTACCATGGCTTTCAATCCTTACTTAACTCATCCTGGGATGGGCCTGGTTCCTGCTGAACTTTTACCAAACACACCTCTTCTGTTTTCTGGAAACCCACCTCTCGCATTGCCAGGAGCTGCTGGTCCAAAACCGATGCGTTCAGATAAACTGGAGGTATTTGTGTAGAAATATATAAATACTACATGGTTTATATTAACCTTATGCATGAAACAACAGCCTCAGAGCCTTATGTTTTGAATGCCTTAAATGAGTGCACCTAGGTTTTTAGCTTGTGGAGTATAACCTCAGAACAATGTTAATTATTTTACTATTGCAATTATACCCTTTTGTGAAGTGAATTGATTCAGTTGTACAGTAAGTTAAAGCATGTCTTAGTGTACCAGATGCATCTCCTTTGCTATGCACAGGAAATCTGGTGGGAATGCTGCTTTTACTCAAGCTCCAGCTTCATAGACTGGACTTGCTATGCTTGTTGATGGGTTTCTACATACTAGAATAATCAAACTGAAGAAAAAGGTAGTCTAGTCTATCTGCTAATGCAGAATGTAAATGAGTCTCATAGTATCTAAATATTTCCCCCATTTTTTTAAAGAATGATGTATTAGATATTAAATATCCCTTTATGCTAAGAAAATAAAATGTAAAAAAAAAATTGAAACAGCTTTCTGATTTATTAAAGTCCTTCAAACATCTCTTAATTGTCATTCTTCATAAATTGAAATTAATAACTAGTCAATTTCTTACAAAGTCAGCTTCATTGGCAGCTTCTTAAATGCCTGGCAGTGTATTATAATGGAATTTGATTGTACACATAATGTAATTCAATCATGGCCCACAAGTCTGCTTCTGGAAAAACACATTGCTGTGTGATAAAGACTCATCTTGGACCTTAACAAAATAAATCCCTTTTGCAAATGTAGCTAATTACACTTTAGGCTGTATTAAATGGAAAATTAAAAATTGGTTTCCAACAATGCTTTTAAGCACTTTTATTTCAACGTAAGAAAAACAGACAGCTTTCCTTTGGAGAGAATGGATTTTTTTTCTAAGAATCAAAATGTTGTCTATGTTTACATCTCAGAGTGAACATGGCTTTACATTATCCTTCAGCTTTTTAGATTTTTCCTAAATAGATGGCAAAGTAATGTATACTATTGCTCTTACATTCACTGGCAAAATAAATAAAACTTAATCACCTTCTAAGTCATCAATGTGATATTTTTTTCTTTAAGGTTTGCCGAGAATTTCAGCGTGGAAATTGTACACGTGGTGAGAACGATTGTCGCTACGCTCATCCTACTGATGTTTCTATGATTGAGGCAAGTGATAATACTGTGACCATCTGCATGGATTACATCAAAGGCCGATGCTCCCGGGAGAAATGCAAGTACTTTCATCCTCCCACACACTTGCAAGCCAAACTCAAGGCAGCTCATCACCAGATGAACCACTCAGCTGCCACCGGGATGGTAAGAACAGACCAGGACTTATGGACTATTTTTTGTGGGGGGAGGGGTAAATGATTAATATATACCTCAGCGTGTCTATTGTCTTGTAACCATAACCTTGGATAGTCACGAGTGGAACTTAATATGAATAGCCAAGGTTATAAGCTGGAAAAGAGAGAACCTATTTGTTCTACTTCATTCACTAAAATTTTCTAAAGGCAATTATTTAAAAAGCTTTACTGATTATTATAATCCACTGTGCTTTTTCTCCCATTTTTTAGGGAAAGATAAAATTATATCATTTAAATAGTAAATTAGTTTTGAATGATTTTTTATAGCATAACTAACCTGAGCATATGAAAAAGGGCAGCAAGTTGCTCCTCTGCCTATGAGCCACCTACATGGGGACTTTGTTAGTAATATCCGTAATGCCTTTCAAAAACAGAGGACTTGAAAGATGGGATAATAAGTAGGCTCTTGTTTCCCAAAGGTGAAGATTCTCTTTCCTTTTTGGAGGAACGGTTTTAAGGAAGCAGCCAGCCGAGGCTGGGAAGGGCATTTCTACATGGTTGGGAGAAGAGGCAAGAGAAGTTGTCCTAGCAAGTCAGTTTTGGGGAAAAATCGATTTTAGGAGCTAGGGAAAATATTTGCATACCATACTACAGTGTGATACGTTGAGAAATAGGAATTATGATTACTTCTTTGTCACAGCTGTCAATTATTTTGATAAGCTCCTCGCTATTTCTTTTTTGGCTTGGGCCTTTCGTGTAACAGGGTGTAATAATCCAATAAGGGATAAAACCTTGAGGAACCTCATATTTCCTGGCTGTGGAAAAAATCATCTACAGGAACCTGAAGCCCCTGACAGAGACCTTACCTTTAATAAGAGAAATACATTTATTTTCAAACCCCCTATTTGTTAACAATGTTTTCCTCATAATGAGTTGAAATCTATCTTGCTATAACTGCAACTCATACTTTTTTTTATTACACAAAATACGTCAACCCCTATTCCATGAGTGGTGACTCTGATCTCTTATTCTCTAAACCAGATGCTTCCAACTTTTCTTGGTAGATGATGGCTTTAAGGACACAGCACTAATTTTGGACTTGCTCCACTTTCTCAATATCCCTGTTCTCTCATAACTGAACCCATTACTTCATGAAAGATTGATCTGGAAAACATAATCTGTTAATGAATGTTTTTTTAATATATATTTTATTGATTTTTTACAGAGAGGAAGGGAGAGGGATAGAGAGTTAGAAACATCAATGAGAAACATTGATCAGCTGCCTCCTGCACACTCCCTACTGGGGATGTGCCCGCAACCAAGGTACATGCCCTTGACCGGAATCGAACCTGGGACCCTTTAGTCCGCAGGCTGATGCTCTATCTACTGAGCCAAATCGGTTAGGGCTGTTAATGAATGTTTTTAAAAAAAGACCTCACCACATGTTGTTTATCTTAAATTCTTTTGAATGAGGGAATTTTAAACTATGATAATAGAAGGCATCCAGAATGTTCGATGCAAAATTAAGCCTTCATTTTTTGGATTATTTCTGTTGGTGGCATGCAGTTCAGAAACAGCATGGAACTATTATAAAAAAGAAGAATACAGCTGGTTCCGTAAAAGTAAAGGTTCTCATATGTGTGGAGTGTATAAAGAATGGCTTGCTTGTGCCTTTATGTACTTGTCCCACATTCAGGCATGGGGCCTTCATATGTATGTGTTCATTCCTGATAATTTGAGGGTATTTGGTAAAATACACATAAATCAGCCCCAAATTTCCATGTAGAAATTTAAATATTATATAGTTGGCCTTCAATTGACTGGTACTTGTAAATGTTAATATAATATTCCTTTCTGAGTAACTGATCAGAGCAGAGTCTAGTGGTAAAGTCAAATTGGCCCTTACGAATTTGTCTGAAATAAGATTATACAAAGGAGGCTTTCCATGAAGAAGTTTAAGCTTTCTATATGTTTAAGGATTCAGAGTAGAAATGCTTAGTGAAAACAGATATTTTTACGCTGTTCAGGTTCATGTGCCATTTGGATATTTATAACATCATTCATGGGCCATACAAAGTTATCAACTTAAAAATTAGCCTGCTATATTTGGTCAAACATTTAATTAACTCACCCCTAATGCCTTGGCAGGGCCAGACCAAATGATTTTATGGGCTTTTTATGGTCCACAGGCTGGATGTTCCCCACCCCTGCTTTAGGCTTTCTTTATTCACAGGAGTAAGGAGGTCATGGCATATCCCTTTTTAGTGTGTGGAATGCTAGCTACTTAGCACAATGTCCTTGTCTACTTGAGAATTTGAAGCACACCTAATTGTTGTTTCTGGGGCATGTTTTTTAAGTAATGTACAATTTGCTGAGAAAAAAATGTAATGGCAAACTTCTCCAATGAATCTGATCCAGGGACAAGTTTGACTGAGTATTATAAGCATAGTGGAATTTTGAAAGAATTGTAGACATGAAAGGAGGATTTTTAAATGCTAATACAGTTTAGAATTAAACTTTACAAGAACTGTACAAAGCAAATGGCACATACTGAAATGTGCAGCAAGTCTCTGCAAATGATAATTGATTTTGCTAACTATCTGTGGTACCTGGGTGAGGTGGGTGATGGGGAAGTAATAATTAATTTGCCTGTTTTCTTACACTTTAGTTGGGAGATATACAGTTATAGAATTTGGATCTGAAGACCTGGTATAAATTGGATTTGTTTTATTGGGCTATAGTAGCAGACTCCAACTACTGATAGTGTTTTTTATCGCCTATATACCATTTATCTCCTAAATCCTTATCAGAATTTTAACTGGAAAAAATGTCTTTCCTGCTATACCCATTGCCTCTGCTAATCTCATTTTAATAGTAGACGAGCATGTTAATTTTAAATGCTTATTTGCTGTTAACAGCTTCCTGTCACACCCTGTCCAAATGACGAGGTCCTTTTTTATTTGCCTAAATTAGCGAAGTTGAAAAGCTTCTTTTTTTCCTTGTATGCATTTTTCTGTTTTGAACTAAGTTGTCATTGAGTGAACTGCTTCATCTCTGCAGCTGGTTACCTTGCTCGATGGATATACTTGCAGAGGGTTCCCAGACCATACCTTATCTAACTGCTGCTTGCTTGGTTTGAGTACATTCTTTACTTTCCTCGGTACTATTTATTAATCTATCCCTCCCTCACAGGCCCTACAGCCTGGTGCATTTCAACTGATACCAAAGAGATCGGCACTTGAAAAGACTAATGGTGCCATCCCGCTCTTTAATCCCAGTGTTTTCCACTGCCAACAGGCTCTGACTAACCTGCAGCTCCCGCAGCCAGCCTTTATCCCTACAGGTGAGAACTGGGTTGTGGACACTGTGAGTGTAATGATGTTGTGAGTGTATACAATGCACACCAGCTACCAAATGACTGCTATGCCAGGACTATCAACAGGTGTTTTGACTGGAAATGAAACAGGGCAGTTACGTTTGATCTGCTAGTATATATAAAAAATTTTGTTTCTGTGATTTCTGAAAAGTAATGATTTGAAATCAAACTAGGAAACATTGTCCATATTTTTCTTTTTAACATTTCTTAATTTTTGCTTCTTATCATTGATTCACTTGGTTCAGTCTCAAATTAATTTTTTGATTCTTAGGTATAACATTCAAAGACATTGGTCTGTCCTCAAAAAAAAATCTTTCTCATTTTCAGCATTGCAAAAATATAAAGTCCATATATCTTTGATATACTGAAGATACTTATAATAAAACTACCCTTAAATTTATAGTATAGTATAATATACAGGTAATATGTAGTATAATATAACAGGTAGTTCTAGCCTCTAATTCTTAAACCAGTTAATATTTAAAAAATATAGCAGTTTTCCTGACATACTTTCCTGACACTTTGCAGCACATTTTATCTTTTACATTCAACTACATTTAACAGCTTAACAATTTTGTACCAAATTGAATAAAAATTTTAAGCCAGAATTTTGTCCAAATATATATATGTGGGAAAATACTTTTCTTCTGTGGTTCAGTACTTTAAGAATTAGCATATGGTCTCTTAGGAATAAATTGAAAATACGAATTACCCAGAGTATAATAGATTTTCTTGCCAGAATTATAAATTCCCACTTTGGAAACTATTATTAAATGAAAATGACATGATTTAAAAATTAATTTATAAAGGCTTGTTAATTGTATAAACATACTAAATGCATAGAATTGTATACCTGGACTTGAAGAAAAAAACCTCTTGCTTAATTGATAAATTAATCAGTTAATACATTTTGAAAGAAGCTATTAAAAAGTTTTATCTAGTTACTAACAGTAATTTTCATGATATCATTTAAAAAACACAATTTTCAGACTTTTTGTTGGATTTGAATAATTTAAAATCTAGCTTCATAAGCCAAAATATCTGAAGAACCCTGTCCCCCTTAAGTAATAACAAATTAAAAACCTTTCAGGCTGAGCCCCCTTTTGATAAAAAGCCTATTTGCCATATGTTCATAGTCAAGTCCTCAGTTACAAGGTGGAATAGGTAGTGATAATAGATAAATGCTCTAAAAAGAACTATTGGTACTAGGTACCAGATCTTGGTGCATATTTTGAAAACAATTTATGTAATAAATAAAATTATCCCTTTCATGATTAAAGTTACTTAGGATGTATTTGTCCAAAATAAATAAAGGATGTAATTTAAGTGAGATAATCCTCTTAAAGAAAATTTAATATTCATGTTTATACCTAAGCATCCAAGAATTACTTTGATTACTTGGGTTTGTGATTTTAAAACTAGGCTGTAATTATAAGCATAGGAGATTACTTGGATTTGCATGTGCTAATTAATTAATATTGCAAAGATTATCTTTTTAGTTAAAATTATTTCTATCAGTAAAGCTTAAATAATGAAATATCTCTTTTCTTTACTTTTCACGCTTTTCTGCATGGTGTACAGGGCAAATACTGTGCATGGCACCTCCTTCAAGTATTGGTAGGTTTTGTACAAAAATTCTCAATTATTCTAATCTGAAAAAAGTGATTTTTCTGTTGTGACTATGAAAGAGCATATAACTGAATGATATGGTTAGACATTATCTGAGTATTTAAGGTTTAATGTGGTGCTGTTTCACGTCTTTGTGGAATCACATTAGTCCTGCACTCTCAAGTCCTAGTTGGTTGGCCAAATACTGACCCTGCCATTGCTCTATTTTCACCCTAAAATGTATAGCCGAACTATTTTGAAACATTTCCTTATCTAGCCAGAATGGGCAGTTTTGTTCTTAGCTTTACATCTGTTACTAGGACACTATGAAATATTTAAAATGTATAATTTCTAAAGTACAAAATTTTCCTCCAAAAAAGTTATCCATAAGATCTAAATTAGTCAAAACTCAAATGTTTAGAAAGGATGAGTTTAGCAAAGCTAGAACATTTCTTAATGTCCTGTGATGAATTCTATAATGTTCTAGGATGAAGCTAGACACAACAGAATAATTTCAAAGTAACTCTTTGGGGGTATGTGATTTTTTTAACCAGTTACACAAGATACTTTAATTAATCACCAATAAAATATGGTAACATCTCAAAACCATTTTGTACATCACTAATACAAAAGACAAGAAAGTGACTTGTCTAGAATTCCTGGGGAGTTCACAGCTCCTATAGTCCCCATATGCATCAGTAATAGACAAGGAGAAAATAGCTCTGTTTGATATAGGGAGAAATTATTCCACCCCATCCTACCATCTCATATCAATTCAGTTCCTTTAATCTTTTTTGAGAGTTTGCAATGGCTTGACCTCTATCCCATTGGTCAAACAGAGTAGATGCAAAGCCCAAAAAGAACTAAGGGGCTTACTGAGATAAAAAAAAAAAGTCAAAACAGCAACCACAGAGTAGTACAATAAAATTCACTGGCTACGGAGGTGCGGCCTCTGATATTGAGGGATTGGCTGTCCCCTGTAAAAATAAAAAATATTTCCATTGATAAGAACAGGAGCCCTATATGCATATGACTAGACGATCTGACTTCTGCAAGTTTGTGAAATGTGTCTTCACATTTTGTGACTCTGCTTCCCTGTCCTTTCACCTAAGAACTCTGTGTAGGAATGCAAACTGCATGCATTACGAGTGCTGCTTCCTGTAGAGTTGCTGTGCTCCCAAGGGGGGGAGGAGTGTTTTTAGAATTAACATGTTGTACAGTAAAGAATGTCTCTAAGTAATGGATAACTAGAGATAGGCATAAGGATAAACTACAGAGTTTCTGTTAATCACCATTTGGGGGTACAACTATGGTATCTACGACATTAGATATGTTGATTTTTCTCTCTCTGGGCCATTCATTTTGTCTGTACTTTCAAAAAATCTGAATTCAATCAATGTAGATGTAAATGATTATATATGAATGCTTGCCATTCACCCATTAATTCCTTAGTTTGCTTTCCAAAATGAGCTAGAAATGAGAAAAGCACCCAAAAAGCTTTTTAAATGAGGTAGAAACTAGAAAAGGCAAAGAGAAAACACCCTGAAAGAGATGTTATGGCTGCTAGCCATGTAGCTGTAACATTTGCCATGAAGACAAGATTTTGTCATATATTTTCTTTAAAGTATCCCATGTGTTTGATAAATAGCCTAAGTTTCAAGGGGTTTGCCAGAGTTGTATTTAAAAACCTGAATGTGTAGGCCATTGTATTATTCATCTCTGCTCCCCTACCGTATATCCGCCAACTGAACTACCATATTTTTGCATGTAGATCAGGTAAGTATACATATAACTGTCCCTTTGAACCTGCAAATCTAGTGACAGCACTCATATCTATAAATTAATGAACCCAGGCACCAACTCACAGTTCCCTACTCCCATTTTTAATGTGCAACCCAGTCACTTGTCTACTTAACTAGTTATTAATACAGATAGTCTTGGTAAAATAAGATTTTACTTTATGCAGCCAATTTAACCATCTGAAAATTTTGCCTTTTAATTAAAATAAAATGTGATTCTACTAAAAAACTAACTAAATGTTGAAATAATTTTGTTTTTCTCAATGTAAACTATAATTGTTTATCCCTTTTCTCTTTTTAAATGTTTCCCCATTCTGTGCTGTGTTGCTTTGCACTGACTGTGATTGCATGTTGCACCCTGGTGTATCCATGATGATGATGTCACATGGCTTGTTGCTGTGATACCTACCATGCTCCATTTCATCGTTTATGTCATGGTTGCATAAATGGTTCACCCTCCTGTGTGTTGCTTCCATGGTTTCCTACGGAAAGTGCCCATGATGCACGGTGCTACACCTACCACTGTGTCTGCAGCAACAACACCTGCCACCAGTGTTCCATTCGCTGCAACAGCTACAGGCAATCAGGTTTGGCAATTTACTTCACCTAGATAACTATGGTGTGTTGGTAAGACACGGTATATGCTTTTTGAATTGGTGAGAGACATTGGTCCATATTCTTGTGTTTGCCAAGTAGTTGTTACATTTAGAGTTTTTATTTTTGTGTTTATTATAGAGCAGTGATTTTCAATCTGTGTGCTGCAGAACAGTGATGTGCTATAAGAATTTTTAAAACATGCAATACCTGACTATTTAGTCAGGGGCACTGACCTCTTTTCACTCAGATTATCAAATAAAAAAATGACAACAGCCAACACAACAATGTGTGAGTTAAAATTATATATTTTTGTCAGATTAGCAAAAAATATATTTTTGTTGTGCTGCAGAATTTTCATAATTAGTTTATGTGTGCCATGAGATGAATAAGATTGAAAATCTCTGTCCTAGAGGTGTGTATCTGCTTTGCTACTGATCCTGAGATGAGCAGTTATCTCATTTTCAATAAGTTACCATATGTCTCTCTTGATATGTTATATATACAATTGTTGCTACTACACCAATCCTTAAATGTATATACTAAATATTTCTTAAACACTTTTTCATTGCTCAAGAGGTGAATTTGTTTTATTTTACTACCATTTTTAGTTATTGTGTTTAAATGTTCACTAAATACAATCATCACTTCGACCTTCATATCTGCTGGAAAGAAAGCAAGTTAATACATCTATTTCTAAGGCACAGATATCCCTATAATTATATAATAATCATGTCAGAAATTTCTTCTCATACTGACGTTAAATGTGCTTGTGTTGTTTTGATTTTCATTTGCTTTAGGTATTTACAAGCAGAGTCACAAGGAAAATTAGAAATTTGGGGGGAGTCTTGAAACTGTAAGGAGATACAAACAATAGTTATTGTGTAATGTTATGGCTGTTTTGCCTTATTAAAGTGGTAATCATGCTTCATGACTGCAAGTTCCACTGCTGTTTTAATTATAAGTATGATAACCATATAGCACACAAAGCATTAATTAATTGGGGAAATAAATCACATTCTAATCTGTGCTTTGCAAAATTAATTATTAGTATATATCATTAATATTGTCTAAATTTTTCTGTGACATGATTATGGTATTGATTACCATGTCCAAGCAGTGAACAAAATAAATGGAATCCTCTCAAGAAACTATTTTAATCTAAAATCTCTTTTACTATAGATACCAGCATTATCAATAGATGAACTGAACAGTAGCATGTTTGTTTCACAGATGTAGAAGTTACCAATAGAACAGTAAGTTTCTTTGAGTATTAATATAAATAATATTTATAGGTTATATTTTTATTTACACAATTGCATTTGCTAAAGCTCTGGTAAATACTTTCACTATAGGCATTGCTTATAACTTAGAGCTTGATTTAAAACATTCTAAATTTTCCAAATTGAAATGTAGATAGCAAATATGCAGTTTTTATATAAAAATGACAGCTGGTATTGTATTTTCCCAATGAGCTTACAAATTCTGAAATATTTTCCTACTAAAGGGGTATAATTTGTTAGCCAAAGACAGAGTTCACCTTTCAATTTCAATTCTTTTCAACTTTTCTAGCTTCTTTTAAAAATTGCATTTAAGCAAAATAATTTTGTCACAAATTGACTGAGATAATTATCTTAAAGACAGTAAGAGGGGGTAAGAGATCAACCAAAGTACTTGGATGCATGCATATGAGCATAACCAATGGACACAGACAGTAGGGGTGTAGGGGGTGGGGGCGGCCAGGGAGAGGTCAATAGGTGAAAAAGGAGACCTATGTAATACTTTAAACAATAAAGAATTTTTTAAAAAGACAATAAGTAATATACCTGTCCTACGTCATTTTAGAAAATAGTGTTTTTACAGTCTGCCATTTTGCATTGCTTCCCATGTAAGTCTACCAGAATTTCCCTAGCTGTTTTGAATTTTGAGTGACATAATTTAGTAATTTAATCAGTATTTCCATTCAAATCGTGGGGTTTTTGTATGTAATTTTTGTTGCTGCTGTTGGATTTTTACCCCCTTAACCTTTGATGCCCTCTGTCTGGTTCAGAGCTTGTAATAGCACACACTTAATTTGAGCAATTGTTCACTTGGTACATGTGACCTTTGAAGCCACTTAAGACTCTTAGGTATTTTAATTTATTTTAATTAATTAATTATAGGGACTTATTAAAGAAGTATATCAATTCTGAATTGCATACATTAGTCTTTGAAGTTCTCACAACTAGAGTGTGTCATTTGGTTGAAGAAGGCAACAGTCCTATTCTCTTAGTGGGCTGGTTCCCCAGAACCTGGCTAGCATTTCTTTCCTGCTGAGAACACACATGCCCAGAGCATGTAGCTGACTGTACATTAGATAAATAGGTCCCTTCAATCATAAGAAATGTTTTTTAAAGATACCTTTGAGTATATGGAATAATTGAAGTAGCTGTGAATTGTAATAGTTTTCAGTGGTAACATTTGGGATAGTGGTAACTTGGGAATAGCACCAAATATGAGACTGTGGGTTTTGTGAACACCTCCCTGATTCTCATGGGCTGCTTCACATAAAGGTAAACAAAGGTTGTCAAATTAACTTCCTAACAGAACATGTTTGGAAATAGTGATTCCTTTTCCTTTGATTCCATTAGAAAATGTACAGGGATTTGGCACATCATAATCACTTTAATATGTAACATGTTGAAAATTTCTCCAACGTTTAAAAGATGTAATTTTGTAAAATACTATATAGTACCTAGATTTCATATTTATTCTCCAATACATTTAGCTAAAATGTTTAAAGTTTATTTAATATTTGCATATTTTGAATGATTGGAATCAAATGTTTTTTTCTATTTTCCAAGTACAGTTGACATTCAATATTACTTTATATTAGTTTCAGGTGTAAGCATGATTTTTCAATATGCTTGTTGAAGGAAGTGGATGGATGGGTGGATGCTCGTCAAAAGGCTTGGCACTGTGTAGATAATGCATTAAACAATTGAGCACATCTCTGTTAACTTAGGGCAACTCTGTGCATTAGCACTCAATGAGAACCATACACTTTAGAGATGAATCTTTAGAGACCATCTCCAACAGCCCCATTTTTACAGATATTGAATATGAAAGTCAGAGTGGGGAATATCTTGGTATAGTTCACATAAAAAACTGGAACAAGAACAAAGTATCCTGACTCCTGCTTCAATAACCCTTAAATATTTCTCACTCTCTTTTTCCATTTCAGTTGAAATTCTGAACAACAGAGTTATGGAGTATCAGAATCTTTCCATGAGAACCTCCATATGGCCTTTCTATATGTAGTATTGTATGACCTCTTCTACCAACACAACAATAAGCATGATGCAGTCAATATATTAAACAACCAAAAATACCAGCCAACAAATTAAAAAGAAAGCATTAAACAATCAATGGAGATGTCAAAACAAAACATGAATAGAAAACGAACTACCATCTATCTTATTTGAATTATTAGGTAGAACACTACTATAAAATTTTGTAATTTGTCACACTGTTCTTTGTGATTTTCTAATAACTATTAGGCTGAGTAAATCGTCACAGTGGATTTTTGGTTTACTGTGCATTCTTGGTGGGTAATGTTCATCTGTTTTGAAGTGCTGTTACCTTACTGTTTTGTTTACACAGTAGCCTATTAGGTTGATTTAAAAGGTAAAAATTATACCAAATACCATTTTCCTCATTAATGTATTGTACTGTATTGTGGTATATTGTGTTGTGTTAGATTTTTACATACTACAGAGTTTTGCTGTAATATCTGTGGTCTTTGGTTTCAACTAAAATGTTACTGATGGGAAACAGAAATATGTGTGCTTAAAAAATATGACAGGCTAATGTTAATATGCTTTCTCTGTTTAGAATATTTCTGTAGGTTTCTTGGGGCAGACATTTTAAAAGCCTTATTTTTGAGTGTTCACAAAACCTGTTCATAAACATGCATGTGAATAATTTATACCTGCAGATCTGACCTTGCATAATATGATCACATTAGTACATTATTTGTGAGAGAGACATAATTACCTGCAAAAAACAAACAAAACAAAACAAGAAAAACAGGGAACTGCTTAAAACATTAACCCCTAATTTCACTCTTTAAATGGCTTATAAAACTAGAATTTACCTTTAAATGAATCTTTCAGCATTTATATTAAAAAATATGTAAAGTGCCCATTACATGTTTTATGGTTCAAGGATCCTATCTCCTAGGTTGATTGTCTAAAACAGCCATTTGTCATCTTCAGTTGAAAAATTGGTACTTGGAGACTTAAAGATATGCTAATTACAGGTAATAAATTAAACGGGGATATGGGGACATGGAGATACTTTTTACACATTGGAGAAAAGCCTGTAAAAATCATTGGATTGCTACCTTTTACACAAGAGCCATTTCTGAATGCAAATGTCTTATGTTCTTTATAATAAGTAAGGTGCAATCTAGTGAAAGTCTGTCAGGGTGAAAGAGAATTAGTTCCAAGTGAGGCCTTTCCTCCCCAAATGGACAATCTTTTCTATTGATCACAGTTGGAACCTGAGTATAGGATTAGAGAAATGGCGGGGGTGGGAAGGACGATGGAAAGACATTTAAAATTATTCTTTGATTTATTTAAAAGTTCTAGGAAGGATGTCCACAGTTGGCTAGTTCAGCTGAGTTTTCAGTTTTATTAAACACTTCAGTGAAGTAGCAGTAGCCTGTGATATATGTTAAGTGTTGCTTTCCCCAAACTTTATTAACAAGAGTCTCTCTCATCAAAACCAATATTGATTTGGATTCGTTTGTTTTTATATGTATTTGAAAATTATAACAGAGAGATGTTTAAGACCCTTTGGATGAGACAGAGAGGCTGCACCCCACAGACCTGAACTGAATTCACATTACTAATTTTTATGAAATAAATTTATAACCAAGTAAAATAGTAATTAATTCCTGTTATATGATATGCCTCATCCACCTTACTCACTTATTAAAGTTACTATTATTATACAGTAGTGGAACCATATGATATTTTACATCAACTTAGATTTAATGTTTTCTAGTTCATGAAAATGACAAAGAAAATCTGATTTAGGATACCTTAAGCAGGCTAGTAGTGTTTGAATCACAGATCAATGGAGTTGGTAAAACCTTTTCACAGAAGATGAAACTGAGGCCCAGGGCATCTCATTGGCCATTACTGTGCTCAGTTGGGCACAGTCGGACACCAATATCTCCAGGCTCCCAGTTGTTCCTCTGTTTCACATTGTTTGTACTTCAGGACATTTGAGACTCCATCCCAAAGCTGATCAAATTGGCTCAGAATACAAAAGAGTAAAATGAGCTCTTTAATAGTTGATATCCTGTTGATCTTAATTATCAATCCAAATCATGATCATCAGTGATATCTAAATGGTATTGCTTATATGGAGCCATCGCCATTTATTTACAGTATTGCCTGGAGTTAAAGAAAAAGAGGTGTTCTGACTTTTACCTATTGATTCTTTGAACCACTTAATTTCTTTTTCCTCAAATCTTAACATTGATAGAGAAGAAAGTAGAGTACACCTTTGTGAAATTGCATGTGTTTGGAACTGAGTTTTGTGAAACCTATGTCAGTGCCTCCCCAGAAGGGTAGATCTGATCACAGGACTCCAGGAAGGATGCACCTAAGCTAGTCTGGATGTATTCCTAAAGGGGATAGAGATGTTTCAGGGTAAAATGAACTTTTTTGTGTAGTTTGATATTTTTGATGCAACATGCTGTCTCATTTAACTTTTTAAACTTCTGATGAAGATGTGCATAGACAGCAAACCTAGAGTACAGTTGTTTTCATGTTGCTTTAAGCACTGGACGACATTAATAAAGACTTATTTTTTAGTAAGAGGTTTGGTGAGAAATATTCAGGGTAGTTGAATTTTGGGTGCCACAATTTTTTATGTTGTTGGCATTTTAAAAATTGTTTTATAAATGAATTTAAAGAAAGAAAAGTCAAAGCACTAATGTTTTGATACATGTGCAAAAGAATTTTGACATGATACTATTTTAAGATAACATGTTTTAAATTAGTTGTGCAATGACTTGTGCAACATCTTTATTCAAGAAAAGAAAAGATTAGTCATTAGACTATAAATTTTCAGATAAAAAGAGAAGTCACAAAATCAGTGACTCTAAACAGTAATTTACTGAATGAATTGTATATATAAAATTCTAATCACTTGTGATTCTTAGGTAAGATTTTATAAGCTTTGTAATTTACAAGGGCCTCTATTTTTAATTATCCAAAATTGTATTTGTTCATTTCTCTCAGCCTTTTGCAAAAATATGCAATAGTGCTGACACTTGGACAAAATAAGTCATGTATACAGATAAAATAATCTAAAAATTATCTTTTAAGAGGGTTTTAGTAGTGTCAACTTTTTATAAAAAGCACTGTGACCATGAGTATAATTTAAAGAGATTAAGATGACATCAAAATTAAATGGATTCATAAAATTGGTATTTAAATACAGTATTTTCTTTTGCAATCGGAGCATGACTCTGTAACCAGCTATTGCATTTTATTTCACTTGTCTAGATTAGTCTTTAATTTGTAGTTGATTGTGATGTGAAAAGCCATCTTCTCCCTAGTCCATCAATCTTCTCCATCCATTTTTTAACATGTTTTAAAGTACTTTGATTTTGCCGGAAGTGTTGTCCTACATCACTGGGCTGTGTTCACTAGTTGGTAGTCTCACCAGCTCTGAAATTGGGAAAAAGCAAGTACCTCCTCACTACCATCAGTAGGAACCAAATAAAATTAACCTTTACAACGTGAATCAGTTTTACAGGATAGTCCAGTAAGCATAGTAATGCCCGAATAAGGAAAACATTGACATTAAATTGTATTAAATAATATGTAAAGAAGGCCTATTGCTACTTGGAATGTTATTGGGTTCCTTTTCCATGCCTTTGGAGAGAGTAGATGAGGATGCTCTTAGGTAAATGCAGCCACAAGGTTTTCGAGTTATTGTAATCTCTAGGATAGGTTGTTTTGCACAGAACTATTAGAAACTGGAATCCTCTTTTATTTTTTAACTCTTCTACATTTCACACACATTGAAATAGAAATAGGGAAATATGATTTCCCAATTCTGTTGAATAGATTTAGAGAGATAGTGGCCTATTTTTAATTTTACTAGTGCCTGTTAAAAGTAATAGAATAAATAGTATGTAAAAGGGTATAACTTTTTTACAAATTTAGTTGATAACCTAATCAAACTGTAAATATGACAAATTAAGGTTCTTAGCACCAGCTCACTAATTGGTGCCATGTTTTCATTTTTCTTGTTAGTTTTTAAGGTTTTGATTTTATTACTTTTTATATTGCTAAGTGACTAATGAATTTACTTTTGAAGGAGAATTAGAGAAAGTTTAAGATTTTACTACATGTGTTCAACCTTCTTAGATAGGTTCTAAACTGACACTGAAGCATAACAAGATATAGATTATAATCCATAACTATTCTTTACAGTTCACAGTTTAAGAACAAACTTTATATACAAATAATAATTTTAACTAATTATATTTAGTTGCTTTAGCAACAAACCTACAACATGGCTACCTTTAGACACCTTTTTGGTGAAAATTTTATTTGTAAACTATACATGGTTTTTGACAGTATGAGCATGTAGAAGATACATCTCAAATCTCAAAAAACATATATGGTTGATTTTCTTTTTGTCCAAAATTCCCATTTGAAAGCTGAATTTGTGTCCTTGTGTGACTTTTTTTTATCAAAAAGTTTACAAGTCATGGATTCTAAAATCAAGCTTTATAGCTTATAGAATTTGTTGTGTGTGTAGGGTTTTATTCCACAGTATTTGGACTTCAAAACAAAATTGTGGTATTTATGTTACCTGACCTTTTTTCATAACTTCATTTATTTAAAATTATTCAAGTGGCATAGCTGTAACTGCAGAAATTCTCTTTTCTGGAATTACATACTTACACAAATATATCCAAATGAGGATTAAAGAATGATAAAAGCATACTATGAAATTAATTCACTTGCAAAAACATGCATAAAGATACTGTGGAATGACCCTTTAACAGTGTTGAAGAGACATATGCTGCAGTTAACTGACTGCCTCAGTTAGGGTGCGAATGTGTGAGACACACCTTTTTTGCACTTATGTACATAGTCCATGAAAGCAATCCTTGGAGGTTTTTTTTAAATATAAGAAGTCTGTGAGAATAGTGGAAAAGTTAGTAAGAGAGAGTTATTTCTAAGGCTTTGAGAGAGAGAGAGATGTTGCTTTGCTGTTGTGAAGGCTTTCTAGTTTGTTCCAGCTGACCAAAAGAGTAGACTGGTAACAGGTAGCAGCTCAACTTCAGCTAGCAGCACTGAACAGGAGTTAAAGTACTTCACCTTTTAGCAAGATCACTAGCAGAAATTGTTTGCTTTTTAAATTAATCCTCACTGTAAACACACACACACACATACACACACACACACACACACACACACGCAGGTTTCTAGCTGAGTATTTTTCCCCCCAATGGTTGCAAGTAGTGAAATACCCTGTAAATTCCAAAATGGATATTCCCATTATGATCAAATTAGATTACATCTTTCACATAAAATTATCAATTTATATATATATATACACATATACATATATATGCTAATATCTATTTAAGTGACAATCAATAGTTAACATCTACCACTAATTCCCCTTTAAGATCCAGGACCCAAAACCAAATTGGCAACCATCGAAAGATTTAATTTAACAGTTAAGTATGGCCAGTATGCGGCATTTCATTCACTTCAACAAAGGAAAAAATGCTCCTGGTACAACTTTATAAATTGCTTTATTTGCCTTATACCTGATCAGTGGAAGCTGTTTTCTGACTTAACCTTTACCAAATTAGAAAGTACTCCAGAGTGCCACTTCAGCCTCACACTGTTTTAACTAAACAGGAGAGAATCAGCAAAAAGCTTACATACATAGGAGCTGGAAAAGAATTTTTCAATCAAACTATCTTTGCCAATTTTAGCTCCCACATCATATCCAGGTCACCATTTAATTTCTTGTTGCCTCTAAGCAATGAGGTCCATGAAAGGTCAAGGTTATAAAGGATTAAGGAGAGATCACCACAGGTACTTTGAGTCCTTCACATCTTGGGACTTGTTGCCCTTGCCCTAGAGAAGGAGCCCATCCTGGGGGTGAGGGAGTTATTAATATTGCTACCCATTTTGATAGTTCTCACAGGGACAGGAAAATAAGCCAAAGCTAGAAAGCAATCCAAGCCTTACAGTTGTCCAATAACTCAGGGCCGGTTGATTAGAAATCTATTTTTGTCCCTTCAGCCCATATCCTTAGAGTCAACCTATAACTAACAGCCTGACTATCTGACCAGCATTTTCATGATATAAAATGTAAGCATTCACTTATTCTGCATTTAAGAACTTCAACTTCAACCTTATCACCAACATATTTTCCAACATTTCCTTGTGAGTGTATAGCCACGAGAATATATTTTCATGAAGTCAATAGAAATATAGTAAGATTTTCAGTCAGGAAAAACAATCAATAAAATAGTAAGAATGAACCTAGAAACATCACAAAAGATACCAAATTAACTTCTGGCATGTTGTGCCTGATGACAGCCACTGAGTCACACTCTTTGGCACTTAAACAGAGTAGCTGTGTTTAAAGAAGTAAAAGTAGAGAATGAAGTCTAACAGAATGTGAATAACTTGAGGCCAAAAGAGGACCTCTGTCATTAAGACTGGGAAAAGGTTTAGTTGGCTAATTCATATACTTTCCAGCCTCTCTACTTGTCCTTGCCTTTAAGAGAACTACCCATTTAATAATCTGAAACAGGATTATTCCAGAGAAATGTTAACTTTAAGTAGAACCCATCCTCAATTATAGTGCTAGACCTAAAAGAAAAATAATGTATCACTTTGAAGTAAATCACAGCTATTCGCAGATATTGCAAAAATCCTCACTAGTCATCTTCTACATCATATTTTACTTTAATAACATAAATACCTCTGTAACAAGACCTAAAAGTAGCCCAGTTTTAAGCAGTGCTATTTTCCCCCCGAAACACAGAACCTAAATGTTTGTCTGTCATAGAACTGCATGATTTCAAAGTTTTATTTCTGTATACTGATGCTATTTTTTTAGTGATGAAAACACAATTATTTTGTTGCTGGCTTTTGTGTCTAGCGGTTGAGAGAATGATATAACTATCATATCATTGGATTCTGGAGTTGCCCCTTTCAAAATAAACTTCCCTTTATTGCTTTTGCTTCTGCATTATTAGAAAATGAACTTTTATTATTATGTCCACTAATTACAGTACTTTAAATTAAGATATTTTAATATGTTCTTAAATGTATTTTTGAGGGCCAACTCTCCACATTTTTATAACAACAATCCAGTATAATGTAGAAAATGGAAACATGTATTTTGGGTAGAAAATGTCAATTTAAAAATACCTATAGATAAGAAAATTATTAGCCCTGTGCAACAATTATAGATTTTGACCAACATTTCAAAAATATAAACGTCCCATAATATTTTAGGTCATAATATGAGCTAAAATGCAATAGCTCATTCTCTCAACTGCTATCAATAGGGCACCTAGATGCTTTGATTTTTATGTTTTTTCCGATTTTTAGTGCTGAACTGCTTTTTGTGTTTAAAAGTGTGCATTATGCAACTCATTTTAGTATGCTATTTCTATGTTCATTTTTTTGGTCTTTTAATAAAATGTTAAATTTCTTGGTTATGTCTTTTTTTATGAATCCATATCCACATGTTAGGGGTTCACTTAAAAGATATTCATGTTCTAGCATATTAATCCTCATATTTAGTAATTCTAATGTAAAATCTAAGTTTGTAATTTGGTTCAATGTTATATTTCATACATAGAATAAATTTATTTCACAATATAACTTCAGTATTTTGAATTATATAATCATCCATTGTATTAGATGTATTATTCCTATGATAGTGAAGTTACTAACCCCATAAAGATATACTTATATTTTAGTAAAAGAAAATTTAAAATTTTGAGATAATGTTTATTGGTTTCTATTCCATTTCAAAAATTGAGGCATATTCTAAGATATATTAGAAGTTTTGCAATTTCCAGTTATTCCTTTCTACCCTGCATCTTTAACATAATATATGAAACCAGTGTTGTTCATTTTATTCTCTACAAGATGGACATCAATGGTCTCATAACAATGAGATGCATAGATTTTTTTCATTAAAATGTTTTCTCTCACTTAAAATTGGTTTTGTCCAATAAATAGCACAGGAATGAAAGGATAATTATGTTAGGTTTTTAAGAAAGCAAAATGTAATTTGGTAATACTTTATTCTGTCAGATTTCTAAATACTTAAAAACACTAATTGTGAACTTCTCATTGGCCACCATTTGGTAGTGGGGCTGATGGAAAACGGTGGTGAAGAGCCTGTGGATGAGAGGTTGTGACAGAATAAAGTATTATTATTCACACATCTATAACAGTAAAATAGGACAGGGATGAGGTTGGGTCCCTGTGTAATATCAACTGAATCATACAGAGCTACTAGCTCCATTGCCCCCTTATGTTTTACTATTTCTGAGTGTGGTTCCCACTATGGCAATATGCCAAATTTGAGAATTTTGATGTATTGTTGTGCATGTTTCTGTGAGTCTGTGATAATCCCAGCACTAAAACCAATTCAGTATATAGACATTTATAAGAGGTATTTGGCCTCATCAGAATTCAGTTTATGTCTTTCTCTTTGAAGCTGCTGAATGATAGGTAAGAATTCAGGGCAGGCATTCCTGATCATCATGAAAATGAAATTTCTATTGGCCAGAAGAAAGTTGACCAACAGGCAAAACCAGATGGACACCCATACTCTGATTTTTTACTTGACTCTTTTCTGAATTAGAAATATCCATTTAATTTGGCCTTCCCAAGTTTTTCTTTTGGTGCCTGGATTTAAACTTCTCCCTTAGGCAGGAGGACAGTGAGGCTGAGGAATAAAAGCCAAGAGCACCAGTGACAAAAAGGTAAGCCACCCAGACATAAGGGTGAGGTTTGGGAGAGGAACAGGAGGTCTAATTTTGTCCTTACAAATGGATGCCAAAAAGGAAAAACACAACATTCTGAAGTAGATGCAGAAATCAGTATAAGAAGGAAGTTCTGGTCAGAGTAGCCCAGCATTTTTGTTGTGTATGAAAACAGAGTGCAGTGCAAAGGCAGTCAGGGAACCCAGGCAATGCACAACAGATGCATGAAAAATTATAGGTTTACCTAATAAGGAAGAAGGAGGTTTCTCCATAAGAGATTCAGTACATTTCATGCATGTAAAAGTGAAAACAAAGAGATTGGTGAAAAATCAGAGTAACAGTGGATGAATAGCAGCAACCAGTAGCAACAGCACCTTTCAAAGCAGTAACAACTGAACTTGAGAGGATGCAGAAGGAATCTGAGGAGACTCTGCAGTCAGCATACTTCTAGAGATGTTCTGGTTACAGAAGATGATGGTCAACCCATTAAGGATCAATGTAGGTCTTAAGAAGAGAGTGGGAAAGAATAGGATCAGGACTGAGACTTTGCTTTAGCCTTCATGACCTGAAGAGTTGAACGATTCTTTGCTGGGGGAAATTGGCAGTTAAGAGAGATTCATATCTGTGTTAAATATATACATATATATAAAGTGGTTATTGTTCTGCTTTTGTTAACTATTTAATAAATGTATGTGTAGTTAATTCAAAGTGTCTTGGTTTTTCTCAATTTCTATTTACAAAGTCCCATGTTAAGGAAATCTATGGGTTGTTATACTTGGAAAACCTGACCCCACATGAATCCAGGCAATCAATGGTTACAATTTGGGGGGGTCCAGATAGAGGTTGCTAATAAATGAGGCATTTGTGTTAATAGTCACACTTGAATTTGGACTGTATACAAGACCTCACTAAATATCAAGCAATTGTTTACCATAAACTGAGCACCAGCCAATGGTAGAAACCACTATAATAAGCAACTCCTTTCTCCTGACAGACACCATCAGTGATATTCTAGATCCTGAATATGCTTGGGACCTTAAGAGTCATTGGGCTGAGCTCATGGGGCCAGAAGAGCACCCAAACCAGTCAGGAAAAATAGGATGCAGCAACATTCACTATTGTTGTCCTCTGCTCTCTACATCCGTGCAAAATGTCCCTGTGGTAAAAATAAAAATATACAAGATCCAAATATTGTTAGGTGACATAGAGAAAGATCAGCATAGCAATTACCTTTGAGTAATTGGACTAAGAAAATCCTTAAATAGTATTTTAAATTATTATTGTGTCCACATTTAGCGCTGTGCCATTTGTCCCACCCTCCATATTACATCCTGAGTAATTTTTCTAAGGTCAAAAATTGATTACTTCACTTTCCTGACTAAAAATCTTCCATAGCTCCTCATGGCCTAGGGAATAAAGCCTACACTCTAACATAGGATTCTTTCTTGCTTCCACCTCACACTTCCCCTCTAGCTTTATCTTTCCCCCTGCCTTCTATAACCTGAGCACTCTCAACAAACTAAAGCACTGTTGGGAAAATATAATTTAAAATAATATTTTCTGCCGGGCCGGCATGGCTTAGTGGTTGAGCGTTGACCTGTGAACCAGGAGGTCACGGTTCAATTCCCAGTCAGGGCACATGCCTGGGTTGTGGGCTCCATCCAATCAATGATTCTCTCTCATCATTGATGTTTCTCTCTCCCCTCCTCTCCCTTCCTCATTGAAATCAATTAAACATTTTTAAAAAATGATATTTTCTTCCAATTCAAAATTCCTTTCCACAAAGGTAATAGTGGAAGAAAACACTTTTATTATTGAGTAAACATTAAACCAGAATGAGATGTGCATCACAGGCAATCCTATATAATAAAAGGCTAATATGCAAATCGACCAAAAGGTGGAACAACTGAACAACCGAACAACCAGTCGCTATGATGTGTGCTAACCACCAGGGGGCGCGCGCAGAACATGGTGGGCATCGCTGTGGTGGGATGGTGGAGCAGGTGAGCGGGGGCGCCAGACCAAGGTGGGGCGCCAGTTGCTGTCATCAGGGCAAGCCTCTGGTGGTTACTGAAAATTCTTTGCTCCCACATGCCATGGTCCCACCTACACTCACACCTGCTACTGGCACTGACCCTGCTCTCACCCACTGCCAGCACCTGGCGCCAGCCCCGATCGCTCGATCTCTCGGGCACCGTCAGTGGTTGCAAGTGGCAGCTGCCGGCCCTGATTGCCCCTGAGGGCTTCTCCACCTTCCTCTGCTCCTGAGGGGTGATCAGGACCGGCAGCCACCTCTCGCACCCACTGCTGGCACTGGCCCCAATTGCTCTGCTCCATCAGCGCATGGGAGTGGTGATGGCGGGTGTCGAGTAACATTCCCTCCACGTTCTGCGTGGAGTAGGGTTCGGTACCTGAAAGAGGAGCCGCACAGCAAATGAGAGAAAAAGACACGAGATAATTTTGCAATATTGGGGGACTAGGCGGGCAAGTCCCGAAGGACTTCCACCCATGCTCAGGCTGCTCCAATCTTTTATTCATCTGGAGTAGCCCTTAGGGTAAGGAAGTTTCAATGACACACAGATCAGCAATTTCCAGGAGTAGACAAAAGTATCTGATTAACTCATCAATAGATTTCCGGGAGTATCTGATTAACAATAATCAACAAGGATCTACATAAGTATCTAAGGAATTAAGGGAACTAAGGTGGGGATGCTTCAACTATTATTACCTAAATTAACTGAGTGGTTCCTAGATTAACTGGGTGGTGCACAGCCCTGAACTTTGCTAGGACTTTCAATGGCTACTAGCTTTTGGGGGGGTCTCTGTCTAAACTCAGCTAGTGAAGACAATGAATGGACTCCGGCAGTGGGAGCAGGGCTGCCTGCAGACAGGGGACCAGGGGCTGCGGCAGGAGGGGCTGGGTGGGGGTGCGAAGGATGGACTGAGACTCCCCCCGATGCCTACGGCAGCCTCGCGGTCCACAGTTCCTTTCAATGTGCACAAATTCATGCACTGGGCTCCTAGTCTACTAATAAATTGCAAAGATAGGAAGGAATCTCACCTCCTTATACAGCAAAGCAGATACAACTCATTATGTATATGTTTTCAAAATAAACCATAGCTAGTCTTCAATAAGAGGATTTGACAGCACCTTTTGTCATTCATAGTGTGTTCTTAATTTATCATATAATTAGGGAGACCAACTATGTTGACTTTATTCATAGGAGAAGTCCACAGAATATTTTGCAAATTGGAGCAAGGTGCTCAGGGAAGTTAGGCTGCTCTATCATAGGAAGTAGGGTTCTACCTTCCTTGATATTTACATTTCAGAGAGAATGCTCTCAGGTCCTTGAGGGAACATTCCTGAGTTGTCAAACTAATGAGAGGCTCATTTAGCCATTATAAATATTTAAATACATTTGAAAAGGATGGGGAAGGGAATTTTAAAAGAAAAGAGAAGAGGTGGTGGAGAAGTTTCTTCCCTTATTTTCCACAAAGAGAATGTAGCCTCTTATTTTAAATTTGTATTTGTCTTTACACCCAGATATATACCATAGTCCATATATGTTTGTGCTATTTTTCTCTCCACTTGGAGAAACACCTTCTGTTTTTTCTCCTCTTCTTTCAAATCACTCATCAGGTGTATCTGTCTATCTACCTATGTATCTATCTATATTAAACTTATCTCTCAAGGTATATATGAGCTATCAACTTC